CTATTAAGAAGTGTAAGTAAAAGCCTTTAATTGACAATTGGCAAACAACTGTTTCTGACAATGACTGTGTCAAAGAAAAACACAATACTGATAGTAAAGTATCTATACACTACATGGGTATCAGAATGACTTTTTCAGGAGAAGTCATTTCTGAAATCAATAACACATGTAGATATAAGTAAGCCACAAGCCAGTAATAGTCCAGTAAGTTGTCCAAAGCAAGATTCATGTCAGATTGATACATTACAAAATAAAATAAGGGATATGAACATAGAACTATAACACTATGTTCGGCATTTTTACAGCACTAGATTTAATTTTCCATGACATTCAATATGTAGTGGAGATTTAAAAAAAGGGTGGGGGAGGTGAAGTAGTTTGTGACCATTCTCTGGACAATACCAATGCACTATGCAACAATGAAGCACACTTTCAACAATACTCTGTATCTAAGAATAAAACTATTAACTGCAAAATGCAACAATCCAGTAGTATTCTGTAGCAAGTATAATATTATTGATTCCAGTATGACTATACACTAAGCAACAATGCAGCAAGTTTTCCCACAGTATTCTGTACTTGCAAATACAAAATTAATTGTAAATTCAAACACCTTTGTAACTATTTGGTCTCTAGGATTTTTTCCTGGCATAAGTAACTGAAATCAGATTTTGAAAACACCTTCGATTAAAAATATAAATTACTGTTGGAATAAATGTTTCAAAATGTATTTAATAATGGTTTGGTAATAAAAAAAAAATGTTTTAAAAACTTTTGATTTCTATTAAAATGTTATCCAATAAAAGGATAACTGAATTAAGTTCATTCTGAGTATAAACAATGCATACAAGTACAACTATGTAAAATTTAGTCAACAAATATCCTCCCCCCAAAAATTTAGATAGATAAGAGTCGGATCTAAACAGTGATGTAATAATTTTCAACATCCATGTCACCAAAGATCAGGTTTTCAGATTATACAGACAACTCCAAAACTAGGATATGATTACTTAAGCAATTATTTCATTTAACTAAAACCGAAGAATAAGTAAAATAATTCAAAATACAGGATATGGTCATTGTAAACAATTAATTTATGTATTGATAGCTTTACAGAGACATTAGAAATGATCACCATCAATAATACATATCTACAATTTCTAAATCCAAGTAAAAAAAATGCCAGAACCTTGTATGTGATCACTGTTGTACTTTATCTGGAGTTCGTGGGATCCTTCTTCTTTCGGATCATACCTCACACTAACTGTTCCATCATGGTTGTCTATTATAGTTGGCTTATCAAGCTTTCCAGAAGGCATGATTACTTCCGCTAGATGAAAAAAGTTTGTTCTGTTTAAACTATTCAAAAGTGATAAAAATCACAAAACTGCTTTTATCACTTTCAATAAACTTAACGGATTAATAAAGTCATCCATTTGAAAATTTAAAAAAAAATTCTAGTTTTACAAGTCTTCCTTTTATATAAATTGTCAATTTTGTAAACTTTTTTTTTTAAAAAACTAAAGGTAACTGTATAATTTTATCCGAGCACTTAAAATATGATAAAGCATAATAAGATGCTGACTTACCAGTCAATGTTTCTTCAGTAACTGGTACGGGGATATCACCGAGTTCTAAAGGCAGAAACTGACCTCTTTGGGCACTTTCAAAAGTATCAACAAACTTCCTTTCCTGGACCTCCTCTACGACAGCCTGAGGAAAAATGTGATTGGTGTTTTATTAAAAACTTAATTTTAAGAGTAAAAACCTCGTTCTGACCAATGAATGTATGAAATTTGGAAGGCTTTTCCTGAATAATCTTGAAAATTCTCTTTGATAAAACCAAAATGAACAAGATTATTTAAATAATACATGATGAATTCAAACTTCAGATGTCAGTAACACTAACAAAGTTCAGTATCAAACTAAGTTATTCAACACGATTAACAGAGAAATGTATCATTAGGATGAATTATGGAATAAACCAGGATACTTCTGGCTCTGAAACAGTCAGTTTAAAGAAATGTCCATTTTTTCACAAGTCAGAATTGTTCTTCACACATGAGCTGTCAGACAAAATAAAAAAAGTCCTAGATATTTGGCTGTCTTTCAAGTGTACTTAGATTAATGACCCTTTGTTATAACACTTGCAGCAAAAATAACATATGGCATATGAAACCACAGCTTGAAAGTATGTAATGAGATTCAAAGCAGAACCAAAAGGTTTAATTATGTAATGTTATTATAAAAACATATTTTGCTAGCTGTATTACCTGTTCCCTGGACAGAAGTTATGGAAATTCATGATTAATGAAATGTTATCTCAGGACATGAAAAGTGGCTTCCCTTACATGTAATTTTAAAAAATGCCCATAAAAACTGCAAAACAAAATGTCATACTACAAGTTTGCATGTATCTCCACATGAACCCAACAAACATTCATGCCAAATATGGTGAAGATCTATCAACAGGGGTCAAAGTAGTGGTTAAAAAAAAAAAAAAAAAAAAAAAAAAAAAAAAAAAAATTCAAAAAACACCTATAAAACTGCAAAACATAAAAATTTATATGTATCTCCCCATGGACGGAGTGAACCTCCATACCAAGTTTGGTGAAGATACATCTACAGGGGGTCGAAGTAGTGGTGCAAAAACGCCCATAAAAACAACAAAAAGCAAAAGTGGAAATTTGTATGTATCCCCACATGGACCTAATGAACCTCCACACCAATTTTGAAAATCCATCCACACCCTATGAAGTAGTTACATGGACATACAACAGACAGTACTATTATATTTATATAGATTCATTCATAAAGCTTTTTTGATTAAAATGACATCATGCTTCTGTACTTTAATTATGGATATCTAACAGTATCCTAGATATTCTACAGTAGTGTGATAATGTTAATGTCTATTGATTGGGGACAGGAATGTTGGCTTAATATTTTAAGTATCATTTCGTTGAAAGAGTAAAATATATACAAGTTAAGCATTTTTATTTCTAAGGTAATATTTTATTTGTGAATTTAATTTTTAAAAGTACTGTTAAAAAAAACAATACAGTGTAGAATAGTTGCGATAGTTTGTTTTAGTGAAAAGCTACACAACAGTCTGTTAACGTTATGTCCACCATGGGGATTCTAACCATGGATTTTAGCGTTGCAAATCCCTAAACTTACTGCTGGCCTCCACTAGAGTAAAGTAATACCAGAAGTAGTCCATTCACTCACGTTTTCCAATCTGTATTATCATAGGTCGTTAAATAAACCCACTCAACTTAAAGTTCACTACTCTAAACATAAATTATCAAATAATACAATTTTTTAGATATATCTTTAACAAGTTCCAACATATGGCAACATTCATACCCAATCTTTAAGATTTTTCACCCTTGCAGGAAGTAAATGTTTTTATGCATGCCTATGTAAATAAAAAACTACAAAAACACATAATAAACTAACATTTTTATTCTTTTTTTTTAATTAAAATGTTTTTTTTTTATTCTACGTGTTCTAATTTTTTTTGTCTCAACAGGTGCACCAGTTTCAATCTTAATACAACAACTGTACTCCAGCAAGTAAACGAATGGCAGATATGCCGACACTAGAGGGAGCCGCCCATCGCAATCTTTCTAGAATTACGTTGTGAGATAACTAAGATAACCTTACAAGGCTACGAGCTGGAAACGAGGATCAGTGCCCGGTTCTGTCAAGGTCATAGATTCAGAAAGTGTAGGCCTACAACAAGCTGCATATCACAGCGCTACAGAAGTACTCTATATGGCAGTTACTCAGAGTATTTACTAAATGCAAACCTGCATACAAAGGCTGACTCACTACGTCCTAATTTCTGGATTATGTTCAACCCACTAAGGGGAAGTAGATTATTAACTATCTAAATCGCGTCTATCAGAAATAAGTTACTTCCGAGTATTAATTAACGCTATTATTTTACTTACAAAGACATATTTTCACCTGTCTATACTTTTCTTCACAAAGTATAAAACAGCTGCTTGTTTAGCGGCTTATGTTCTGTCAAGTTCTAAAATAAAACAAGAGGGAATCCTCAATAGCCGCGGCACTCCTTACAGTCAGGATTAGAGTAAATTAATCTACGAGACCTTTTTTTTTCTCCCTTTTATTAGCTATATTTTTGTGCGCCAGAAATACCAGAAAATTCAAAATAATAAAACATACTTTTCTCACCGGATTGATTTATTCTGTAACGTCTCTGGGAATTATATATATGGTTTCTCTTTAGGCCTAACAAGTCCCACATATATTCAAAATCAAGATACACAAATACTGTCCTCACCGGACTAATTTATCTAGTAACGTTTCTGGGAATTTTATATAAAGCCTCTCTTCAGAAACATAAAAATTGTCCTTATGCAACTTGTGTTCAAAATCGGTACAACACGTCTATAACAAAAACTATTATTATTAGTTGCAACGTTTCGGGCAGAAGTCCTTCATCGGGCAGTTTAAACCGTATTACATATAAAAACTTATGGAACTTGACGAGTTCGGAAACGTAAACACTGTCCTTATGGAACTCAGACAACTTTAGATATGACTGAAATCACGCAAACGATTAATTAAGAACAACACGTTAGTTTACACCACAACTGTATCTCTTTCGACTAGAAAACAAACAAAAAACAAATGTTTCAGGCAGTATTTACTAACAGACAAAGCTAGCGTGGGACCTAAACAAGAATACATAATAAAATTTAGTATTCACGTGAATATCACTTTATACAATCGATACATGGGCTAAAAAGGCTCAGCCATATAGTCACCCCCCTCTCCGTTCATTAAACAGGTTCGTTGTTTTTTTAATATTAAAAACGTTGGTGATATAACAGAAAATATAGATCAATTACGAAACAACTGAAGTTTAGAACTTAATCGATATTTTTACTTTCATGTTAAATTTTATGCACTTGGCTCAAGGCTAGGTGATCCCACACTACGTCTTGGCTTTAGGCTAATTATACCAACACTCACTACTGACTTAAGGTGTCACGGCCCCCCTTTGCACCCCCGTCACTAAAATCGTATTGGGCAGACATTAATCGAACTATTCTATCTGGATAAATGCATTTTGGCTTTTATGACTTCTGTTTCGAGAACATAAGAAATCAAGCATGACGTGACAACACACTTTTATATAGGTCAGATTCTAGGTTATGTTTCCTAACTCCCACTCTAACAGCCGCAAGCATTAATTCTTGAGTTCTATGCATCGATGTGGACACATGACCAGACAGAAGGACACGCAGATTTAACAGGTCATGACAACATATATACCAGACAGACAAATGTTTAGAAAGAATGTAACTTAACGAAAAGCATGTTGCCAGCATCATTACAGAAAATATTACCAAGTGAAACTTGTTCTATGTAACTATTAAGAATGTAATTAGAACCCGAACATATGCTATTAATGTTTTTTTTAAATAACTATTTAAAAAGAAGGATGTACCCTTCTTTAGGCATTAAACACAATTTACATTCTAACATACTTCAAGTATAGTTTATGTAAGGGGTTCTAAAGCTCAAAGTTGACTCTTAATTAATTTCATATGAATTAATTCTGTCGAAGCTACTGAGGTAGCGACATAAATCCAAAGATGAGCCACTGTGCTACAAAAAACCAAATATCTGGTTACAGTAGCGTCACGAATCCAAAGATGAGCCACTGTGCTACAAAGAACCAAATATCTGATTGCAGTAGCGTCACGAATCCAAAGATGAGCCACTGTGCTACAAAGAACGAAATATCTGGTTACAGTAGCGTCACGAATCCAAAGATGAGCCACTGTGCTACAAAGAACGAAATATCTGGTTACAGTAGCGTCACGAATCCAAAGATGAGCCACTGTGCTACAAAGAACCAAATATCTGGTTACAATAGCGTCAGGAATCTAAAGACAAGTTATCATGTCACAAAGAACAAAGTATGTGGTTACAGAATAAAATATCTTCATGTATTAAGCTTGATTTATTGAGCAGTTCCAGATATCTGGTGAGAGCGAACTGAAAGACTAGTGTGAAATTGGAAGCAAGAGAGCCAACTAGACGATTGGTTTGAATGTGAGGCCTAACTATTTGGTGTACGTTCATGCCAGCAATAATAAATATATCCAGTGTTATATGTGAGGACTGACTTATGTAATAAACGTATGTATTCAAAAATTCTCTTGTATTTCAGATATTAAGTGTGTATTATATGTGAACTTTTCTTATGTGATAAACTTGTGCGTTGCAAGTGAAGACTTCTGTGTTTTGTTCGTTTGTTTTCTTTCGGATATTAGCGCAAAGCAACACAATAACTACCTGTGCTAGCCGTTTCTAATTTTCAACTGATAAAATAAAGGAAAGGCATTAATCAACGGCACCCACCGCCAACTCATGGACTAATGTAATCGAATAGTGGGATTTGGTCGTCAATCTTATAACGCATCTAAGGCCCGAAAATTCAGAAAGAGATCCTGCGGATACAGGATGCGAACCACGGACATTCGGATTCACAGTCAGTCCGGCACGTCTTACTTCTATGACAAAGAAAGGTGTATAGTGCAGGTGAAGACTAATTTGGCATGGACGTGGAGACTTCGATAACAAATAAAGAAATATCTGAGAAACGAATCGTTTCACGACATTCATCTTAAAAAATAAAACAAAAAGAATATTACTTGCTTTTCGT